TGCTTGATTAAATATTGCTCGTATTTAAAATATTTTAAAAATTAATTAGAGTAATGACTAAATTCACTTAATTTTTGAAAAAATTTTGCAACCTAAAAATAAAAATATAAAAAGCTTAAAAACTATGTAACGAAGAGGTTTCATCTGCTCCACTTGTCTTGTGCAAGAACGGGAAAAGATTATGGTATTACATTATATAAATTTTCTATGACATTCTATTACGCATTATTGTATTGATTTTCTACTGATTGATGAATTAAACATCCCCCACCCCTCTACAATTTTTGTAGTAAACTGTTAGTTAGAACCATGTCTTTTCAATTTTAATAGCTAGTGGTTGTTACTTTTTTGTTACTTTCTTATAACTAAAATAGTCCTTAGTCACAATTTTGAATTTGGTGGTTAACCTGCCCTTATTACAAAATTAGGCCTAGATCTACATTTGGGATTAAATACATTGAAATTCTACATTAGAGTATTAAGTTTTGATTTGTGTGAATGTAGTATAAATGACCTTTTACGTATGACAATAGTGTTGGATAAAATGGAATGGTATTCATACTATTTAACAATGTCTTTATATATATATATATATATATATATATATATATATATATATATATATATATATATATATATATATATATATATATATATATATGTATGTATATATGTATATATGTACATATGTATATATGTATATATGTATATATGTATATATGTATATATGTATATATGTATATATGTATATATGTATATATGTATATATGTATGTATGTATGTATGTATGTATGTATATAAATATAGATATATATACATATATATATATATATATATATATATATATATATATATATATATATATATATATATATATACGAATGGAGTTCATGTTTGTCAGACTTATATGGTCAACTTTTAAGTCTAGTAACTTGCTTTCTATCCTTCAGAGAAAGGTGCACTCGATCGAAGGGAGTGTACTCTAAAAATTTGTTTAGCTTCTATTATTAGCATTATACTCATTATACTAGCTAGATGCACACAATTTTTAAAATAATTAAAATGACAAAATAAGGACGGGGTTGTATTAAGGGGACTAAATGTTGCAAAATGATACCAAATATATGTTTATAGGATAAAAGGTTCTCTAGATATGACGGTTTTAGTGTAAAAATTCGGCGACAACTAAGCCTATGGAAAATGAAAACAAAAATTTGTCAAATATCGAGAAGATAGAAAAAAGGCTAAAGGGAAATAACTCTGCGTAGGCGCACAACTATAAAATGTCCAAATTTCCTAATACTATTTAAGTGTGAGTGGGTATCAAATAAATATAGGCCTTTGTTTACAAGGGTATGTTTTATTCTTTTGCAAGATAAACTAATGGGATATGAAATAAATGAAGACTATCAGTGTACACATTCAGCTTGTTAACATAGAATGAACACACTCGTAAAATGTTGTGTTTATAACTAATATTTCTTATATTAATAAGATTTTGGATCCCGCACAGTCTACTTGGTGAATTTAATCAACCACTGTTCAATTAATAATTTCCACCTTTATCTTATAATTTTTAAGACAGCTTAGATACATCTTTATTTTACATCTTAAATAGACCTAATGGCCTAATAATATAATAAAATATAACGGAATACGAAATCGGAGAAAGGTAGTATCGATATCGATAATACTTAGGCCTAGGGGTTTATTTTGTTAGTCGGGTTTTACAGCTTGTGAACGTCTGAAGAGAAAGTAGAAACATTTGTGAAAATAACATTAAAAATGTATAGATTCACACTAAATTCAAATTAAGTCTGAATGTTTTCTTATTTTAATTGATCTAAATACCAACGGATATAGCGACAAAACATTAGCGATACCGCTTTTCTAGATTTTTAGATTTAAGCCTCTACTATAATGCATTACGAAAAAAGATCATATTCGTTGTTAAAAAATTAAACTAAAAATCTTATAGTCTTACTCAAATCGTACCTAGTGTCATTATTTTTAGTTTTAATTCATTCTATGAATAACTTAATTTCAACTTTGTGTTAAGCTATTGTATACCTAATTCAATCATTAGTAGCACGTAGTTAAGGCCGCAACATATTAGCTCAACTGATACAATTTTTACTGTTATAAAAAGGTTAATTTATCATCACTGAATCTACTCATTTACTAGTTTAATTATTAACATTCTTTAAGAAAAAAAATGTACAAAAATTGGTGACATAATTCATATAAAATGAAGGAACATAAAAATGTGGTATCGATACCGCTAATAGGGTACCTAGTTTGTGAAACATTTTGCATAGTCGACTAAACGGATAAACCTAAAATAAATATGCTAGTTAGAAAGCTTAATAAAAAATGAAGACAATCCTACTAAAAACAGTTAGTCTCAATGTTTTACTATTTTAAGTAAATGTTTGAAAACTCACCTTTTAAACTCAATATGAGATTAACAAAAACAAGTAAAAAGTTGAAATAAAATTAGGGGTCGTCCATAAATGACGTCACACTCGTAGGGGGGAGGGGGGGTCCGTAATTTTGTGACGATGTGTGATGAGGGGGGGGGGGGGTTCAGATGGTGCGACGTCACACTTTTGCAATATAAAAAAGCAATGTTAGAAAACGAATGTTAGACGTTATTTCGCGTTTTAGAAAACTGTTTTAATAAATTGTAATAGGAATTGATTAAAATACTCTATTTTTACAGAGTTCAGACAAGATTTTAGAAAAATATCGATGTTTTAAAAAAAATTAAACCGTAATTTTGAGGAGGGGGGGGGGGTTGTAGGCTGAGGTGTGACGTCATTTTAGGGGGGGGGGTCTGGCTTTTTGCGACGACGTGTGACGGAGGGGAGGGGGGGGGGGGAGGTAAAAATCGTCCAAAAAAGCGTGACGTTATTTTTGGATGACCCCTTATACCGCTGCTAATAAGGAGGGCATATATGATTGGAATCATAATAGCGTTCTATCGTTTTTTAAACGGTTAACATAGCGATGCGAACGACTACATTTGAATTTGATTTTTTTTGTGCACGAAAGGTTTAGAGCCTGTGACGTCATATTTTATTTACTTGTGCAACTAGCTACATTATACATATGGCGAATGAAAACGAGAAATGCCAACTAGAGTTTACCACATACTTACACAACAATTTAAAAAAAATGTTTTTGAAACATGGAGTAGGGGTGGGAAGAAATAGTACTGCACCACCACCACCCCCCCCCCCAAGAAAAAATGGCTGAAAGAACCACCGAAGAAAAAAATAATATAAAAAAAACATGGAATGCAAACTTGTGATGCACTAATACAACAATTTTCAAATTTAAGTTTTATGTACGAATACAAATGGAAATTTCAAAACTTAAAACAAATTTTTTTTTGTAATTAGACATGTGTAAAAAAGACATACACGTATAAACACTGCTACATTACCAAAACAAAAATATATATGCACCCAAACATAACCAATTTCCGTCTACACATCCGCACAAGCATTCTTTAACTTAAAGATAATATATACGTAATTAAAAAGAATAAAATACGAGTTTTCGAAGCTTTTGGGTGACTTTGTTAAATATACTATGTGGTATACAAAAGATAAAGCTAGACCGTTAAAACTATATTTAAAAAAATTAGAAATAAAAATAATAACTGGCAAATAATTAGGGGCTAGACATTTCTTAAATGAATGACATTGACATAGGAGAGCTTGAGTCATAATTAATTTGCTAATTTTGTTTTGTTTTCAGATGAATTTTTCATTAATTTTAAACATTTTATGTAATACTAAAGGAGTATGCTATTACTTTTATTCCTTTTTCAGAAAATGTATGGAAGTCTTTTATTCGGGAATATAGCGACAAAATAATTAGACATTTTTAAATTAGCAGGCCTACTAATTAGTGGGTGGGCGTCAAAGTCCTGAGTCGTTCGATTATATTTGCCGCAACTCATCGTCTAGAAATAATTTTAAAAATCACGTTGCATTATAATTTATAATATTCTGATTCATTATTAGCAGATTAGTTCTTTATTAAATTATTTTTAATTTAACTTGCCCTAAAATCTTTTTTCGTAGTGTCTAGAGTCCAGAAATCTACCAGTCCAGCGCGCCCTCTGCAGTAGCGTAGTGAGGGAGGTCGGGGGGGGGGGGACATATGTCCCCGGGCGCCGACCTTAGGGGGCGCCAAAATGGGTTGGAAAAATAAATTGAAAGGTTTAGGGGGGTGCAAATCGAAAGTTTGAGGGGGGAGGGTGCAAATCGAAATCTCGAGGGGGAGTGCAAATCGAAAGTTTGAGAGGGGGTGCAAATCGAAATCTCGAGGGGGGGGGGTGCAAATTGAAAAGTTTGTCCCCGGGCGCCGGGAAGGGTCGCTACGCCTCTGGCCCTCTGTATGGTAGGGGGTTTGAGATCGGTCTTTATTACTTCAATTTTTACTTTAACGTTACCACTTTCCTAGATATAATGCTGAATAATTAATGCCCTCGTTTACGTGCAAGTTATTTAAACTCAAGTAAAATACAATTTTAAATATTCCTATTCAATTTGTCAGAATGTCGTGCGCTAGAGTTAGGATATTAATAAAAAAAACTGATCACATAAAATCACGATGTAAAACACTCCATTCCAAATTAACGACAGTTTACATGGACTGGAAGAAAATTCAAAAGTTTGAATTACAGGGAGGGTCATTTCCGCGAAAATATTGGATTAGAAGTAAATTTTCTACAGTTTTTCATTTGCAACGATGGCCAACACTTACATAATGTGATTTTTTTTTTCTGACGACCACAAGACGTGGTTAAAAATACATACGTTTTGTTTATAAGGTAGCTATCGGAGGCGTAGCTAGGGGAGTGAGGGTTGGGCGACCGCCACGGGAGGAGGGGGGGGGGATCTTAAAAAAAAAATAAAAACCTTGTTTAGAGCTGCATTACATAATTACATAAATTCGAAGTTATATAAAAAGGACTGGTACTTAGCTTTACGGAATCATTTAAGTATTTTCAACATCGATTGTGTGACACAAATATATAAATCGTCAAGGGACAGTAACGCTTTATTGCCAATGTGAATAACTGTATAAATGGGGGTGCGCAAAGATTATAGATCGCCCAGGACGTAGGAATAGGTCGCTACGCCTCTGTATCTGAGGTTTTGTTTTTGTTCATGAACATTAGAAAGACTTGTTCCAGCGAGGTTTGCTGTATGGTGTAGTGCTCAAAGTTCATGTCTTTCTTGGCTTTCTCCATCATTTTAAACATGGACGACAGGGGGAGGCTGTCTGCTGGGATTTGAAGGTGAAGGTAGGTGTCCATCTGTCCAAAGACCTGGGGAAACATTAATTTAAACAATATATTTAAACAATTAATTAATTTAAACAATTAATTAATTTAAACAATTGATTCAAACAATTAATTTATTTAAACAATTAATTTAAACAATTAATTTTAACATTTAATTTAAACAATTATTTTAACAATTAATTAAAAAATTAAATCTAAAAATTTAAGTTAAAAAAATATTCTAAAAATGAATTTAAAAAATAAATTTAAACTATTAATTTAAACAATTAATTTAAAAAAAATTAATTTAAACATTATTAATTTAAACAATTAATTTAAACAATTAATTTAAAAATATATTTAAAAAAAATAAAAAAAAATTTTTAACAATAATTTTAAAAAATAATTTTATCATTTAGTTCAAGCAATCGATTTCAACATCAACATAAGCTGAAACTAAATGTCCAGCTGTCCTGAGACCTATCGAAACAATTCGTCTAAACAACAAGGTGAGAGAGTAGGTTAACAAACAAAAAATCCGCCTAAAATAACTTTTAATTTTAAACTGCCAATGTAGATAGGTATCCATCCTACAATTACACATATATCAATGCACTTCATTACATTAATATGTACATCATCTATTAATATTACATAACATACGCAACGAATATACCATATATAACATTATTACCTCAGCCCCGTCGAATATCCTTAAAAGGTTGTCTATGATCCCTTGTATAGGTACCCCCGAGTCAGGCTTCAAGTGTACGGTTATTGTATAACCCTGGGCGTACTTTGTCTTCAGGTGTTGTGGACTGCCTAGACACATGAGCTTCCCGCCCACCATAATGGTCAGTCTTGTACATAGGAGTTCACACTCTTCCATACTGGAGATTACAGAACGTGGATATAGGGATGTAATGGAACATGATGGATTTATGCTGGATAGAGGGAAGTAATTGAACATGATGGATATAGTCTGGATATAGGAAAGTAATGGAGCATTATGGATATATGATGGATATAGGGAAATAATTGAACATGATGAAAATATTCTGTATATAGCGAAATAATTGAAGACTATTCGGATATAGCCTGGTTATAGGGGACTGGACCCATTTAAAGGAAATTATCATTCATTAGACTGGCATTTAGAAATAGACACCACACTCAACGGGCTCGACGTGGTAGAGTCGGTAAAGCTCATGGCTGCTAAACCGAAAAGTCTCGAGTTCGATGAGCAGCTCTCCTAATAGAGACAACTCAAAATCAAATTACAAAAAGAAAAGCAGTCTAAAATTGGAATCAACGGCCTATGTGGTGTATAACAATTTGACACGTACTACTTTATTGTGTTGGAGTGAATCTCTTCCATCAGAGCTAAGATTAAGGCAAACCTGTGTGACGTCAAGACGAGGGTGGAGCCAAGAGATCTGACGTTTTGGAGCAAGTCCCATATGGCTCTCTTGGCCATAGCATCCATGCCAGATGTTGGTTCATCCAGCATGACAAACTGGGGGTCGCCAATCACGGCAAGTGCTGTGGAAAGTTTGCGTTTGTTGCCCAAACTGTTGAAGATACAGTGACATGTTTGTTACTTGTCAGATAAATTATTCTTTTGAACACTACGTCTTCTTTTTCTGTTAGTCCACTGCACTAAATCCTACTCAATGTACTTTAACATTTTTGATCAAAATTATAAACATCGTATTTAAGTAATAGGATAACGATCAAGCTTTACTAATTGCAAATGCTAAACAAAATTCTCATGTCTGTCATGCGTCTGTCATGCGTCTGTCATGCGTCTGTCATGCGTTTGTCATTCGTCTGTTATGCGTCACCTTAGAAATAGAAGCCACAGTGATATTGTACCCTTCGAAGTACAAGATGGAAATAGTAAAAAAAAAAAATTACAACGTGATAATGATGGGAGCAGGACAATACCCCGGAGCAATAAAGGTAGGGGGGGGTACATTCGAAGGATGTCTCGGGAGTAATTGACGGAGGGGGGGGGGGGTGGAAGTCAGGGGGTGGGGGGTAATTGACGGGGTATTGACCTAGACCCAATAATGATGCAGGACATTCAGGTTGTTAAGATATACACAGGGTTTCGCTTTATACCTGTGTAACAGACTGTACTTTTTGTTTTCATGTCTATATTGTATTTAGCATTGTCACAGACTGTATAATTAGGTATGTTTATATTATATTGTGTTTTACATGAAATTGCATGAATGTAGAGTACCTGGCTAGCGGAAGGACTGTCTGAGCGACTCGTCATGTATTTTCCCATGCTTTTGGGTGAGATCGCTCATGTACGTATGGGGAGAGAATGGACCGTATAAAAGGTAGAGCGAAAGGTGAACGGGGGCTTGCGCTTGGACTGTGATGGTGAATGTAGGATGTCACTACGTCACTTTGATTCGTGACTGTACTTATACTAAATTATACTAGTTGTTTATCTATGGATTTACTATGGATTCATCATTTCACTGTAGTGTATAAAGTGTAAACAAAGTTATAGTTTCACAACTACTGTTGCTCGTGTGAGTATATTGAAGAACCCACAATAACAACAATGAAATTGATGTTGTTACAAGCATGTACTTTGTAATGAAGAAGAATACCTGGCCAGCGGAAGGACTGAGCTATTAATCATATTTTCCCATGCTTTTTGCTGATCTCGCACACTGACGTTGGGGAGAGAACGACGGATTAATATCAAGACTCCACCAACAGTTTTATCAACCACAGAGAATTGTTACAACCTGTATTTTTTCGCCTCTTTATCGGCATGCAGGTCCAGTAACACAGCACTAATCAGGTAATTCGTGACACCTGGAAGACTTTTCTCTGGAACTCCCCGCAGACGACCAAACAGGTAAAGCGACTCCCTGCCTGTGAGGTCTCCATGAAGATAATCGTCCTGAGGGCAGTAACCTAACATTGGATGGATCTGAAATAGGAGAACAGAAGTTGTCTCCCCATTTTGAGATTCGGAAAAAAAAAACAATACTGTAACACTAAATTCTAACTTAAGAGGTCTTTATGCTAAGCTGATTGGGGTTAGGACAGTTGCTCTAAAAGTTGAACTCGTTCCAACCCCTAGGGTTTGGTGAATGGCTATAGACATATCCTCATCGCCCTACACAGCGTTTGAAGTTATTGTACGGGGAAACATTACAAATTAAATATTGTAATGCATACTTTGTTATTGATTTGACTCATTCATCAGTAGCATAGGGCTGCAGCTTCACCCCTCCACTTCATTTTGGGCAGCTCTGTTTCGTTCAGCCAGTTTAAGCCCCGCTTTCTACTGTCCTTCTCCAGGATAATTTAGACAGTACCACTTTTTATTACCCCCCTCTCTTCCCAGGGTGTGCCAGATTCATCCCCATTAGTGCCCTAAATATTCTTGTATATTATTTTCTATGTGCGCACTTTTCTGTGTGCGCATGTTTCTGTTTGCGCAAATTTCTGGTCCTGCATTTTCCTGCTTTTGCAAATTTCTCTATGCGCATTTTTCTCTTTGCGCATTTTTTTGTTTGCACATTTTTCTGTGTGCGCTTTTTTTTCTGTGTGCGTTTTTTTCCGTTGCGCATCTTTCTGGGAACCGCCTTTAATATCCTTGTTTATCAGCTATTTTTTTATAAATCTCCACAGGTTGTCATTGGATCTTTTTTTCAGGCCATCTATTTTTAGGATTCGACGCAAGTATTTATTTGTAAAAGAATGTAGCCTGCTGTTATCTGACTCTGTAACGCTTAGGGTCTCTAAACCACATTGCAATAGTGCCTTAACAATAATTATTGTTGAAGAATCTCATCTTACTCTGGAGTTATTGGGCTGTGCAAGTTTGTTTCGTACGTAGGGTACTCAATGCACAGCTAGATTTGTTGATACGACTTTTTATGTCCTCGCATTTGTTGGTCACATTCCACAGGTATGTGAATTTATCTTTCGTATATCTTCTCCATTTAGCTGGGTGGGGATGTCATGTTTGTTATTCATTACGGCGACCTCTGTTTTATTTGATAATACTAACAGAAATTTTCGCCAGAGAAAGTTTTTGTATGAATCGAGGGGCTTATGTTCAGGTTATTTTTAATGTGAACACCAGCCAACTGACATGTAAAATTGCAAACATACAACACCATATGGTAACTGCCGTATAATATCTGCAAAACCTTTTAATTCAGTTGAGAAAGTAACAAAACATTCGTGAAGTATACTGCCAGGACACGATTCAGCATAAATATGTTTTGCCTACCTTTGATAAGTTGGAATTGAGACAATAGAAATGTAGTTACTATCTACTATAATATACAAGTGATAATTGAAACTACAGAAATGTATTTACTACCTACTTTAGACAAGTTAGAATTAAGCTGGAGACCGTTGAAGTAAACATCGCCTGATGTACTAGCATATTCCCCCGTCAGTATTTTGAATGTTGTTGTTTTCCCTGCGCCATTTTGTCCAAGAAGTCCAAAACATTCATTTTTGGGGATCCCAAGGCAAGTATTTTCAACTGCTGTTAACACTTGGTTCTTGACAATATATTTCTTGCTGACATTCACCAGAATTAATGCATCTAAATGTGGGGAGTTTTAATGTACTTTCAATATATATATATATATATATATATATATATATATATATATATATATATATATATATATATATATATATACAATATTATATATATATCAGCATATCGCTTCTCCTAGGACTAGACTGCTCTGATACTAGTTTTCAAAAATATACACAACATAGCGAGCTTTATTTGTTGTTTTTTTCTCGGTTAAACACTTTGTGAACATAAATCACTGTTGTGTAATAATAGTGAGATATAAAGTCCCGATATATATATATATATATATATATATATATACATATATAACATACATTTAAGCCTACTTTATTTATATATTAAAATTATATATAAAATATTATCTCCTATAAATTTAAAATTATATATTTCTTAATAAGAAGGACCTATTAAATATGAAATATTAATTATTATATATTAGGGTATCGAGGCCCACCTATTTAAATATATATATATATATATATATATATATATATATATATATATATATATATATATATATATATATATATATCATATAGATCTCTACGCAATATGTATATAGTTCTATGCATTTCGATTTTAATAAAAATTTGAAAACACACACAGTTTTTAAAAATTGTTATTCATACAGTCGACTAGATGTACCTGTGTCAAACAATAGCTTTAAATCAGTTTTTAAAATGCGGTTTTGTTCAGCTTCTACGTCGTCGTCTGCACTGGTGACTGTTTTATTAACAATTACCCTTCCAGCCTTTTCAATTTTACTCACAAGTTGACCTTCTAAGACCTGAGACCTATAAGAAGAAATGTATTTTCTATCCGATTATTAAAATAGACTCCGATATTGGAATAAAAATTAAATTATTAAGAATTTTTTAAAGAAACTATCACCCGAAGAATAGATTAAAGTTTTGAACACGTTTTTAGAATTGTGCATGTTTTTAACTAGCGTGTTGCTAAAGATCTAAGAATTATAGAAAATAATCGATGTTTTAAAAAGATAAATCACGAAAGGTGAGCTGTGACTTCAATTTAGATGTGTATAGTAAAGTTGTCTTTCAGACTTGGCGGGACACCGGGCAGGTGAAGTAGAGCTCACCTGTTTCTGTGACCCAGCATATGAGGGACGGTGTAGTCAGCATCATGCTCGCCCGAAATCGGTAATTTTAGAAGACAAAAACATATTGGCTTAGATGTGATGTGTTTAAGATGTGGGGGATGAGGGGTGAGGTCTAGGTTTTTGTGACGTCCTGTGACTGTTTGGAGGAGGAGAAGGGGGTCAACAAAAGTGATGCCATTTATTAATGACCCCCTAAACTGACAGTTATCCAAATGATAAAGCGTGGTCTAGTATTCATAAATTTGTGTAGATAAAACTACAAAGATATGGATATAATTATACATTAGCATACCCTATACAAAAATATGTATTGTTTACCTTAGACCTATAGTGTTTTTATATTCCATGAAGAAAAGTAAACCCCAGGCACATAGTGCGTGTATAGCAAAGAATATGGAGTGTTCTTTGGTATATTCCATCGACTCTACAAGAAAAATTCATGTCAAACACATTATATATGTATTAGTACTTACATTTATTTCCATCTAAGTTTTTCTAGCAGGCTACATGCTAAGGCATTAGTGTAAAAACAGGAGAGGTGGAGGAAGAGTAAGTTTTCTTTTTTTTTTTTTTTTTTTTTTTTTTTTTTTCTGAAAAAATTCATTTTAAACACCTTAGAGAATTGTGCACAATCTAAGTAAACAATTACGGTAACAAATTATTTATTAGTTTTCTACTTCGATTTTCACTAGGAAAATAAATAACTTTAAGGGCCTGTGACCTCCTTTGCCAAATTGAGGGGGAGGGCCGCGTTTTCACCAACATAAACAGGAATTCCGCCAAACGTTTAAATTGACAGTGTGTTTTCTTATATAGACCGGTCACTTTACGAACTGATTGAGTGGCCTGGACAATGTCCGATGTATGTTAAGTTGTGATGACGTATTAATTATTCTGACTGCGATTTCATTGTGAGTAATGTATTCCTCGTATTGTGATTGTACAAGAATTCACCGTGTCTTTCCTCTTGAAGTTATTTACGAATCCTCGTTGAGTTTTTGTGTCTGATACTCTTTAGTTGTTGTCATCTGTTGTTAACCATTCAAAAAGAATTCGGTACGTTCGCTAACTTTACACCTGGTAGAGTAGCGCTCGTAATAATATTATTAAAACAGAACCACTACTACATTAACAAATATATTTTAACTTTTATATTCAGAAAAGCTTGCAAATATATGAGTTCTCGACCGTTTGAATAAATAGCATTCACATTTTTCAGCATTGTTTTATTTAGGGAACTGTTGGTGATATTAAACCTCAAAGTGAGGCTCACAAAAAAAAACAAAAAAAAAAAAAAAACCAACAAACAACGGCCATGATTTTCTTTAAATGGGGATCATGTTCCCCACTATTAATTTTACTCGAAAATGTATATCTCTGCCTGGCCTACGAGATTCCGAATTTTACGTAGTAGAGACTGAGACTTACAAGACCTATTTCCCTTAAGTAATTACCCCATCTTGAAAATACACATATTATTCATGATATTTGAAAATAAGAAGCCAGACTGTAGAATGATTAACATTTGCTATTTCTAGGAATAATATACAAAGCAGAATAAGCTGTACATTTGAAAGTAAGAAGCGGCTGAGTTATTCAAAATGTCATAGAATTGTATCTTATTGTAAAATGCGAAGATAGTGTAGTCAGCACTATGGCTTTACGTTTGCTAACTTTAGTCAGGTACCCTTTAAATCCGCTCTCTCTCTCTCTCTCTCTCTCTCTCTCTCTCTCTCTCTCAATCTCTCTCTCTCTCTCTCTCTCTCTATATATATATATATATATATATATATATATATATGTATATAACGATGCAGTTAATAGGTAATTAGAAATACCCCTTACCTTGTAAAGTATTAAGTGCGATCCCCAGTGGAACGACATAATATTTCGAATATGGCGATGTGACCGCAAGAACGTAAAGCACATAAGTGGTGAATTCCGCCTCGAAAGATTTATCACTTAGCATCAGAGTCGTTAAAACTTTCAAATAGATGAAACAAGTTTGTGTTATACATTTTACCTCACAGTTTTAAATAGCTGTAAATTAAATAGTTTTATAACAAAATAAACAAATTAATTTATTTTTTACTTGGTGCTTTAAGAACTACGCAAAGCCACACAGAAATTAGTTTTCGATGCATTTTTAAGTTAAATAATTAGTTTACGTAAATATTAATATAAAATAGACATTATTAATTATTTATTTTGGAAAAATCAATTACAACTAAAACTACACCACGAAATCATTTTAAGCTTCACATTTTATTGACATTTAGGGAGTTTTATGATTTACTATGGGCCAGGGCAAAGTTTGGGTTGAACGGCAAAAACTGTTAATGACATACGAAACTAAAGCGAATATAGAATTCGGCTACTATTAAGATTTTTAACAGATTTGCCTAAGAACTGAATCATGGTTTGTGTGGTTAGAAAAAGGTAGAAGACATTATTGCGTAATAATGGAAAGAGATATAAACACGCATGTTTTTTACCATGATACTTTGGTAGATTCAGAACACAATGGTTCTAATATACTCGAAAAAATGAAAATCGTAATTAGAACTGTCTGGCTCAAGGGAATATATATATATATATATATATATATATATATATATATATATATATATATATATATATATATATATACTGTGCATTTAGTATTATGGACAATATTTGCATCGATTATCCATTGGGTAACATTGAGTTTGCAAAAGGACACAAACAGTAGTCAACTCCAGTATACCTATCATCACACCACCACATACGACCATTGCCAACAGGCCTTACGAAATACCGGTCTACCATCACACGCCAGTCTCCCCCCCCCCCCCCCCCCCCCCCAACTCATTTAACAGCCCGAACGTGTTAACCGGAGCTGTATTTTCTATTTCGGTCATGTTACAAATAGCCCAATGATATGACATAGAAATTTTTTTTTTAAATATACGTACAATTCACTACAATATACACAATTAAAGTGATTATTGCGTTCGGGATTCTTAGAAAAAACGTCTGGAACAAATAACAGAATGGGAGGATGTCCAGCATAAAAAGCAGCTGAGTGAAAATGAGCATTGGCAGGTGTAGAGTTAGTCTGTTCACCGACTTCTGACACAGAATGACTGGCCAGAACATGGCAGCAAAAACTAGTTGAAGGCAGATATCAAACAGGTAATTTGCGAACCAGAAAATCCAAACTGGGACTCCTGTCATAGCTTCAAGCTGTCTGGCCCCACTCTGAAAATAGAACATAAGGTTTTAACAGGTATAGATTGAAATGTATTATACACAATACAGTTATTATTTTATTTGTAGATCATTTGCGCGATTTTATACATTTTTCGGGAGAGGGGTGTGGACACTGGTAAAAGTATATATTTTCTATAAAAATTACATTTCGTTTTGGGGGGGGGGGTAGATTTCCTTCGGAAGGAACTCTGCATGGTTGCTAAACCGAAAAGTCCGGAGCTCCCGAGCAGATAACTCGACAGCTGGGGACAGAAACCTACCTAGGAGAGAAAACTCCAAAACTACAAAGTTTGTTCTTGACGAATAAAGGCTATGGAAGCAAATCCAGAAAGAAAAACAGGCTGAAATCAGCCTGTAGTTCATAACAAATAGACACGTAATGCTTAATTGTATTGGAGGAAATCCATTCAAACATAAAAAAATAAGAACGAAGAAGCAGAAAAAACCATATTGTATTCAGAAAAGACTAAGGTCTCTGAAAATTATTGTTGTGAATTTAATAAATTCGCATATGCATTGATTCATCTTTGGAATATCAGCGTTAAGATGCATACAGGCAAATTTATATCGGTAAATTGGTTCCATGACAAATGATCTCAGGACAAATGATCTCAGGACAAATTATCTCAAGGACAAATGATCTCACGGACAAAAGATACCAGGACAAAATATATCAGGACAAATGATATCATGGACAAATGATCTCAGACAAAATATCTCAGACAAAATATCTCACAGCAAAATTTTAATAGTGTATTTGATAGTTGATCTGAATTTTTTTTTATAGACTGTCATACGGTTTTGTTTACTATGTTTAATATTGTTTATAGGCCTATATACTAATTGTGAGAAATGTCATTTGTCCTGAGATCATTTGTCCTGTCACCCGGTAAATTAGGCATCTGCGATAGACTTAAAAGAAAACTTAATTTGCTGTTCTCTAACCATGTCAATGTGTACTACAACTGTGATATAAATTTGCCAAAACATAGATAAATTGAAACTGATACTTACATTTCTTTCGCTGATCAACCAGCTAATTATGACTGTGTGCAAGGAGAGTAGAGCTAACAAGATGCACATTACACTCAACATCGGCATTTGGATTTCTCTGGAAGATACATGGTCGGGTAGAACCCCGCTTTGTATGGAGTAGTTAGTGCCAAGCCAGGCTCGGATGTGGGCGTTCAGGAAAAGATCTACCTAAAGGTCCATTATAGTTACGCTGTTAGATCATTAACGTGTATATTAATACATAAATCAGCGCTTGAGGGCACTGCTAAAATGATTGAAATAGGTAGTTTGTATGTGTACAGAAATTCAGCTTGGTAACATGTTATTTGGGTAAATGTGCAGGCGCTTCAAATTGGGCAGGCTCCTGCCATGAGGCGACAAAACACGAAGGCCGGTGCCGGTTGGCCGAAAAGTCCACGATGAGTGGGACAAAACTGACCTCGACTGACCGGTGCCTTACATGAGCTATATATCGAAAACAAATTCCGACGTAGGAATCTTTTCATAACTCCTGAGGTTGTAGACCGACCCTCAGGGGTGGCAAAAAAACAAAACTATGATATGTTCCGGAAAACTCCGGAAGACCTTTAGAACTGACCGGTCCGAATTTTCCCTAAATAAACGGCGAGGACTAAAAAATGACCACTATATATATATATATATATATATATATATATATATATATATATATATATATATATATATATATATATATATATATATATATATATATATATATATATATATATATATCCTGCCAAATTTAAAGCGCATGGGGCGCCAGGAAGTGCCCAAATGGGCACCCGACGACTTTTCTCTCTCTCTCTCTCTCTCTCTCTCTCTCTCTCTCTCTCTTTTTATATATATATATATATATATATATATATATATATATATATATATATATATATATATATATATATATATATATATATATATATATATGTATATGTATATGTATGTGAACAATCTTACCGCGACGGGCTCACTGTGGACGTAATAACCCTGATAGTGAACGATACTAGGACTTGGTGGTTGGTTAATCTCAAAGCCCATCATCATCTCCGTTTTGTATCTTCGCATACTGTTGGCGCGGACCCATCGAAATATATTTCTGTTAAATGCCTACCGTGGAGAAGAGAGTTCTGTTTATATTTTAGTTTTTTAAAAAAGAAGAAAGGAACAATATAAACAAGCATCAAACGGTCGTAAATAGGCTGTGCCCAAGTAGTTAGGCAAATTAAATCGGCCCGTTCTTGACTTAAATTTTCAGTGTATTTCATTTTTTCAAACCAAGCCTGGGGATGACAAACTGACACGGATTACTCTTAAAATAGCAATCAAACAACAATAACAATACGACAAATTGGAAGGGTTATTTCAAATAACCTTTATTAGACATAAAAGCAACAGCTACCACAGGTATTTTTTTTCCTCGCTGCCACCAGGTTTTTTTCGTGGCCCACCGAGTTTTGTTTTCTTGGCGGCCCACCATGTTTTTATTTTCTTGCCGACCCACCAAAATTTTTTTCAGGGCCCCGCAGATAGCCCAGTCCACCCCTACCTATTTGACGCAAAAGGACACCCAGGCTGGATTGATACAACTTTCGTAGTTTGAACAGATCGCAGCAATTTTATAAATTTAGAAATATTAATTGACATATTATGACTCAAAATACTTTGAAAACAAATAACAAAACTTACCAATGACCTGTTGGGCTCTACCACAAGCACGTCAGGAGGAAGAAGAGACATCAACCCGTGGTAGACGGCCACAGAGTATTTGTCGCTTGGTTTACCAACAAGGATGGTGATATTTTTGTAGTCACTGAGCTTAAAGTCCATTGGCAGAGTAAAGTCAACGTAGGTACTTGCTACGTACGCCGCAGTCAAAAGTAGATTCACCAGCAACACTGATATCAGTGTCAGGCAGCTCCGTTTCAAAATAATCATTCTTTTTATTAATATAGCTTTGAATTGACACATGTGTAGTTCGACTCTTGTGTTTGTTGCTGCTATCCTATCAGGTTTAGTCTCTGGTTAAAAAAACAACAAAAAAAACAACAAAACTTGTAACTATATACTGAATACGTAGAGCGTACTTCACTGTATGTATTTTTATAGTGTGTTTTTAAATTAAAGTAAGGCTTAGAATCGAATTACCTTGATTAGCTACACTTTGTTAAAATTCGTTTTAATTAGTAGGCTTTGCAATTACTTCTTAATAATTTACAAATGTTAAACGTAGTGTTGATGTCCAAATTAGTGACCCCTACTACCAGTTACTAATTTAGTCATAAATATTCAGGGAGTTAACTTACCTAAGACTACACTCTGCTCTTTATCCATCTTGTCATCTTCTTGTAAATCTGGCATTTCCTTGACGCTTGTGCTCAGTTTTTGGCTTGCTGAAGCCGCCTGGGACGTGGTAGTGTGCCTCAATGTGGACTGTCTTGGTGTCGGATCGACTTTTGTGTTGCCCATTTCGACAAGTGAACTTGATTTGACATCAGCGGAAATTCTTTGATTTCAGGTAGATATACAGTTTTATAATATAAAATCTATATACAGATTCATATATATATATATATATATATATATATATATATATATATATATATATATATAAATATATGTATATATACATACATATATATATAATATATATATATATATATATATATATATATATATATATATATATATATATATATATATATATATATATATATATATATATATATATATATATATATATATATATATATATATATATATATATATATATATATATATATATATATATATATATATATATATATATATATATATATATATACACTAACATTTGAGTTGTTTGGTTTTGTATCTTGTTTTTGTGTTACGTTAGATGAGAGCATTACTCTATTAATGGAACAGTAAAATACGTATTTATGTAGATAAAATGTTATTTTTTCCCCAAATTTTACACATTTTAAAAAGAAGATTGTTTATTTTATGATATATTCGTTTGTAGAACTACCTTTAATTATATAAGTTCAAAACAAATACTTAAATTTCACAAAAGAGACGTCATTTGCAACTAATAAAAAGTTATCGAAATGAAACAAATTTATACCGACAAACTAGATTTAAGGCCAAACCAAAAATAATTAGTTATAAAGAAAAAGAAGTATAAAACACAATAAATAATTGAGTATCTTTATTAAACTATTTTAATCCTAAAATATTTGATGTAAATCATTGCTCTTTAGCTTAACAAATAATCTAATTCGAGAATACACTGAATTTAACTAGAGCTACCGATTAAGGGGGCAGTATCACCCAGACATTTGAAAATTGACAAAAAAATTTGCCATAATAGTAAATATCAAGGAGCTATAAAACAGCACATAAAAGAAAGTTAACGTATGATGCAAACACTTTATATAAATAATTTTACCAAAAAATGTTTACTAAGTAATTTTAGGCTGTGGTTTACCAACATTTAGGCCCATCCTGCTGAAAATACTCTAGGGGATGCATAACTGGGTAGCCTATGGCCGAAACTAGGAGATATCCATTGTGACAAATTTTAAAATTTTTGGAATTTTTCAAAGTTAGACCAAAAAAATTGAACTTTGAAATTTTCTAAAAAATTTATCTGTCATTAGAATACTATTATTTTAGTTCCGGCCATAGCCATTAACGCAAGGAATGTTTATACCAAATTTTAAGTACTTTACATATGGTTTCGAAAAATTGTTTACAAAAAAATCAAAATGTGATAAAATATTAACAAAATAATTTTTTGAAAATTTATTGCCATACATATACCCTACAATTTATATACTGTATTATAGCAGAAGAAACGTTACTACTGCTGTAAAATTTTGACATGTGTATGTCAAATAGTTTTTTTTTGGTGATAGTTTTTGTTTCCCTCCCTTAGTCTGGGTGATACTGCCCCCTTAACTAGACTTATGCCATTTTTCATTTGTTCGTGAAAAAGTTGGCTAGAGAATCTATCAAGATTCTAGATCTAGAATCTAGGCCTATCTAATGTAAAACACAATGAATAGTTTAGTTCCTTTATTAAAATTTTAGGACTTAAATATTTTATATACATCTTAGAAATGGAATCGGCTAAATGATGATATAATTTAATTTAAAAATAATATTTGCGTAATTACAATTTGTTGCTCTGGCTAAAGTAAATAACTCAATATATTTAATATTTTCACATACTGGTATGTGTCCAGCTGGCCAATACTTTAAAGTTAGTGACAATACTTTAAAGACAGTGTCAATACTTTAAAGACAGTGTCAATACTTTAAAGACGGTGTCAATACTTTAAAGACAGTGTCAATACTTTAAATACAGTGTCAATACTTTAAAGACAGTGTCAATAATTTAAAGACAGTGTCAATACTTTAAAGACAGTGTCAATACTTTAAAGACAGTGCCAATACGTTAAAGACATTGTCAATACTTTAAAGACACTGTCAATACTTTAAAGACACTTTCAATACTTTAAAGACAGTGCCAATACTTTAAAGACACTGTCAATACTTTAAAGACACTTTCAATACTTTAAAGACAGTGCCAATACTTTAAAGACACTGTCAATACTATCGAACAGCCACAAGTGCTGATGGAGCCGCTGCTTGATATGACTGATTAGGACTATTCGATTTTAGAAAGTTATAGAAGAATGTCACATACAAAATGTAAAAAAAAATTTTTCATAAAAACTTTTTGATAACAAGCTTTTATGTACTAATGCACTAAAAAGTAGAAAATAAATTATAGACTACTATTTAAATAACTAGAAAGAAAAGCGTGGGTCTCTTCCTAAACATTAGTAAATTTAACCAATAGATACTAAAGTGATCCACGCTTTTCTTTCTAGTTATTTAAATAGTAGTCTATAATTTATTTTTTACTTTTGAGTGAATTAGTACATAAAAGCTTGTTATTAAAACGTTTTTATGAAATTTTTTTAGTACTTTACATGTTTTTATTTACAATAAAGTTTCATGAAAAAAATCCATTGCGCGCCGATTGAAACGTGATGACGCGTGTGGTGCGGTTCGATAGAAATGCCTACTAATTCGGTCCAAATTTTAATTAATTCTTTAAAATTAATTAGGCATCCAATTAAGTCAAATTTAATTGCAGATTGCATTGTCTTCATGTCTTGACCCACGTGCCGAGTGTGAAGCGTATCGGTCAAGTAGAAGTGTCCGAATTTTCGCTCCTGCGTTTCGATCTAGACTGACGACTGACGACTGACGACAGACAGAGGAAGTGAGTTAAATAAAAGCTTGTAACAAAATCAAGCAAATTTGGAAGTTAACTTACGACTTCACAGCTGATGCTTTAGTAGATTCTTTTGTCGCTTGTTCTCTGGCATAAAAAATAACAGACACAGTAAATAATTCGGAAACAAAAATGACATTTACAGATAATAATTCTGATACTATTCTGAAACAGTAAATAATTGAAACAAAATATCAAATCGATTACAGCACCGTTACAACAACAAATACATCCTAATATATATATAGCCCATGTGCGCACTTCTCTCCCTCTCTCTCTCCCCCTCTCTCTCTCTGTGTCTCTGTCGGCACAATATTTTCACATACTATGATATCATTATCTTCAGCGATATATGGAGAACTTGATACGGACTTTTGTTTGAAATGTTTAAACTAAATGTTATTTAAAGAAGGAAAATAAAAATAAAGGCATATTTGAGTGTAGAAATACAATTTTAATTATACAACGGAAAAGTTTTTATAGTTTTGACAAGAACGCAATAAACAATGACGCCACATACCATATGTTTACACTATGGAAAGAACATAACATTAAGGGCGTCATCTTCCGATATTAAACTATAAAGAAAGGAACTATTGCATCCAAATTTGATTTAGATCTAGATCTATAGATCTACTTATCAAGACGTGCGCTATGAAATATATACAATTTTCTCGTCCAATCTAATACACATTACTTTAAAAAACAACATAATGTTCGGGTTTTTAACGGAAACATTTAAGTCTCTTAGTGTGTGCATTTAATATGGTGTTCTGTTGACTAATAATTTATATAATTTGGTTTTAATTTTTCTAATAGTTATTGGTAGCCTGTTATTTTAAATGTGCCGAATTTTTAGCTATTTAGTTGGTCACTAATATTGTTAAACGTGTAGTAAAGCACATTGCGTTTTGACAAATAACTTTTTTATAAAATATTTTTCTCAAACATGTATAACATAAAAATATATAGGCCTATAATTTACGTGTAACGGGTACTGACGGCTAGTAAGTCGGATTAAACTCTTAGCTACTTGAAGACTGATCAACTATTGATCAAGGAAAATTGGTTTAAAAAGAGTTGTGGAACAATAAAATACTGGTATTAAAATCTCTATGGGACGGCGTGGTCTTGTGGTAGAGCGCTAGACTGCTAACTCGAAAGTCTCGAGTAGAATGTACCTGAGTTTGGCCAGCTCTAATGGGCGCCTAACTCACATTAGGGAAAACTAAGGCGGCTCGGCTTAGTGCCTACCACACTTTCCCTTAATAAGCCGAGTCTTTGAAGCAGATGAGCTCTACTTCATCTGCCTCATGTGTCTTGAGCACGAACGGAAAAAGATTATTTGATTTAATTACATTTGACGTACAAAAACATTATATTCCAATCCAACCTTTTATAGAAAGGGAATGCGTGCGTACAATATAGAACTAAATTTTATACTCACTGTACAGCAGCATCTTCCATCCTTGCAATGTTTCTGGAAAAAATTGAAACTAATGTTAGTCATTGAATAAAACACGACAAAATCGTTAGTGTTTAATGAATTTCAATAAAATATTCAATTTTTATTTTTTTAATCTAAAGGCGATATTTTAAGTTAATATATAAGCAGGTAACAATAACTATAACCAATAGTAAGTTAAGTGATTTTCCTGCTTTGTTTAATATAAATAGATTTCTAATTATAAAGCAATAGGAACGTTTCATTTAAATGTAGTAAATTTATAAAGGCAATTTCGTCAACGTAAACGGTAGTTGTTATATTTATAAAAACAAAGCCTTCACATAAACCGAAACAATCTTACAAAGGGACTTGATCTTGTGGTTTCTGCTCGATCCGTTCGCTGAAGCTGTCGATCAAATATTTCAATAATAATTAGTTTAACACCCTAGAGGAATAGCTCTTCACTTTCACTAATTAATTCTTTTTAAAATTTGAATCTCTTACACCACACTCTGGTACCAGGGGTGTATTGACTGTGTCCATGCGACTGGGATATAAATAAAAGCGGCCCCTTCTCGACTTTTTTTTTCAGTACATTTTTCTTTAACCAAGGCTAATTACCGAGGCTTACGAAGTCAACAGGGACACTTGAAAGATTGCAGTATACAATAATGACAAAACGATAACTTGGGAGGGGTAATAATATAAAGATTTTTTTTAAAGCACTAAATGGCA